CAAGCCATCCTGATTTAAGTGGTGGAGGATTATGTATAGACACCTGAAAGGACGCCATTAGGTTGATTGTATTGGAATGTAAAAACTGACCCTCGCTCTTTATCAGCAAAATGTGTATTCTAATTATAATATCAATAGTAATAATAAACTTAATATTACATAATACCTCATTGTAAAGTTTAATATCTCTAACAACAGAAAATGTAGTTATCCAGTAACCAACTCCTTTCTTTTCATGTTGCACAACTAAAGTGTACATTACTTGAGTAACTGCAATAAGTAATTTAGTAATTATTAAATTTACAGGGCATACACATACCAGATGCAGTATTTTCTTCCTCTTCATTCACTGCTAGAGTGGCTCTTACTCCAGTTTCTATTGCTTCTAGATCTACAATTTTCAACTTTGAAAGTTTTTGAGCCAGCTCAGTCATATCTGGTCTATACTTAGGGTCATCATTTAGGCATTTCTGAGCTAATGGAACGAGTTCATTTTCCTTTGGAATTTGCTCTATATATTTGGACCTTCTGTCCCATTCTTGTACTTTTTTGAAAGACTTCGCCCTTCCTGGTTTTTGTATAAACTGGTCTGTAGGCTGAGGGAATCGACCACTAAGTACATGAAGAATGAGACAACCGTAAGAGAATACATCTAACTTGTGATCATATACCGGATTATCTTCAAGATTTTCTGGTGGCATTACCATAGCATTACCAGGTACTGTAGTGAGGTGATGGTTTTTAAAGGTATCGGCTAATCTTGACACTCCTAGATCTGATATCTTAGCTGAGTATGAAGAGGTCAGTAACACGTTATTAGCAGTGAGGTCACAATGTACTATAGGAGGACGTTTACCATGAAGATAACACAAACCCTTAGCAACATCAAGAATAGAATACTTCATTTGAAGTGGTAGCTCTTCTCTCTCCAGACATTGTCTGAGTGATAAAGATACTCCATTACTAACATTGGTAATTGTGAACGAGGAGGATAATAGACACCAATTAGCTGGACAATGTTAGGATGCCTTTGCTGACTGTGAAGAAGCACCTCATTACCAAACATTATCAAAGAATACTCCTACAGAAATGATTTGAGTCTCACAGTGTCAGTTTTAACAAATTCCCTTACCCCTACAATAACATCATGAAGCTTCTTAGCAGCACAGGCTGTTCCACTAACTATTACTTCAGTAATAACACCATAAGCTCCACGGCCTAACTCTTTACCAGTCTCCTGTACATCAGTTAGAGCCAAGTGGGCTAGTCTTTCTCTGATTTCTTTGAAATTTTTCTCCTTCTCAGTCATGGTCTCATAGCTCAGTTAGTTGGTCCCCGCCCCTTCATGATCACTAGATAGTCAGGGTCATCAATCATCTAGTGGCAATGATGACTTAGGTATAAGTCTTAATGTTGATTATAATTTCCTTTAAAGTGTTTTAAAAGGTCTACATTCAATATCAGTTACAATATGATCAACATGAGGTGCATATGATTTAACATGTTCTACATGTCTCACAGTAACAGACCAACCACCATTATCTTCTTTATATAATGATTCTAATATTGTCTTTATCCTAACAGCTACACTGTTACTCCAGTACAACCATGAAGACTCCTTCACTTTACAACTGCTAATCCCTCCACAATCAAGTACGACAATCAAGCAGTAACTAGCTCAGGCTGAGGCTAATTGTACCATTATCTTATTATTAATGATCATCATCATTATAAAGTCTCTCTTTGTTCCTCATAGTTGTTCTTACGTATTCTCAATTTCTCATTGATGATAGGTCCACGTATGACAGTCTTTCTATTATTATTATTTCAAGAGGAAATGGTACAGTCTTATGGAGCAACTGGAGGAGATTAGGAGAGAAGGAAGACTAGTGTTTTTAGTATTACCTGCTTTGTTATTCTCATTGTA